AGTAATATATCATATGGTCATCTGACTCAAAATGCCCCATGCCATTCCATCTCATCTCTCCAATGCCTAATATGTCAATATTTATGTGTTCCATTTCTTTCTTAACAATTTCTAATTTTCCTACATTCATGGGTCTCACATTCCATGTTCCAATCACTAGGGTCTGCTTACAACTGTTCCTCCTCCTTTGTATTTCTGTAGTTCTACCTAGGTTGCCCTTTCTGTTAGTCTGCGTGTTAGATTTTATTTGATCTCAATAACTTGCATAGAACTTTTTTTATATTTTTCAACTGAGGTAGTTTCTACACAGTACCATACACAAAACTTAAAGGTTCCATTTAGGAAGCTTCAGTAAATGTAACATTTGTATAACCAACACTTCGATCAAGAAAGAACATTTCCATCACCTTAGAAAGTTCCCTGGTGCCCCCTCACAGTCAATTTCCACTCCCTACTTATGACTATTGTCATGTCCAGCCTTTATATAACTTTTAGGTATTCTTGAATTCCATACAAATAGACTCATACTGTATAGAAATTTTTTATCTGGTCCTTTTCTTCCCCTTAACATATTTGTTACGGATTATTTCCTCTCCAAAGAAAACTCAAACTCATTGCTTTCAAGTCAGACTTCACTCCTAGCTGACCCTTCAGTGAGCTTTCAGAGGCTGTAAATCACATGGGAAGAGATGGCCCATCTTACTTCCATGGAGTAGTAACCAAGCTGGTGGGCTTGAACTGCCTGCCTTTGGGTTGGCAGTTCTGTTCCTTACCCTATAGGCCAGTAGAGCACCTTGACTAGTAATATAAAGGAATTCCAGTTGTTCCCCTATCTTGTCATCTTTTGGTGTTTTTGACTTTTCTAAAAGAGGCTTCCTATGCATATGAAATTTGGACAATAAATAAAGAAGACAGAAGAAAAATTGATGCCTTTGTGTTGTGGGGGTGGAGAAGAGTACTGAATATCTTACAGACTACCAAAAGAACCCAAATATGTCTTGGAGAAGGTGCAACTAAAGTTAGAGGTAAGGATGGAGAAGCTCTCACTCACATACTTTGGACATTTTGTAAAGAGGGGCCAGTCCTTGAACAAAGACATCATGTTGGGAAAGGTGGAGGTTCAGAGGCAAGGGGAAGACTCTCAAGAAGACGGATTGACACAGTGACTGAAATAAAGGGCTTGAGCATATCAGAGACGGTGAAGATGGTGCAGGAGAGGGCAAACATGGATCTCTTCCAGTTGGCCTGTTGTTAATAGGGTTGCTATGAGTGGTGGTAGTCAACTTGAGCACACTTATCAACAATAAAGGGTAAGAAAGTAGCCTCAGCAGTGGAATGGTTAAGGGCTAACGTAAAGTTGATAGTTCAAACCTATCCAGTCAATGTCTGCTGGAAAGAACAGTATAGCAATAGAGACTGTAGGCTGAGAAACTCTGGGGGCCGTTTCTACTCAACCACATGAAGTCACTACAAGCCGAAATTGACTCAGTGGCACCTAACCACCACAACAAAACAGCAGCAATAACCTTGTAGGTTTCATTTCATTTCCCTTATGACTACCGATGTGGAACTCCTTTACATAAGCTTATTATTTATTTGCATCTCTTCATTCTCTAAGAAGCTGTTCAAGATTTTTGCTCATTTGTTCTCTCTAGATCATGAGAAGAATATATGTTGAGGGGAATGGTTGTTTAAGTAAATTGATATTTTCTGAACCAGTCTAAATGGACTTAAAATAATTTTGTACTGTCAATAGGAAATGCAAGAACTCTGAAATCTGAAAAATTCTAGCATATATGAAGTATGTTCTTAGGAACAGTTGTTGATACAGAGTGGAAGGTAAGCCTCTCGGGTTGGAAGGCCCTCTAAATGCCAAAGGAGAGTCCATCATAGTGATGCAAATGGAGTAAAGCTTTTAGCCAGTGAGGGCACTTCTTCTGCTGATGTGACAAGATGCAAAATAAGGAGAAACAGCTGCAAATGTCCATTAATTATTGGAACATGAAGATTGACATCTTACACTTTAGTGAGTTGAGATAGACTGATGTTAGCCATTTTGATTCAATCATATGATCTACAATGCTGACAATGACAAATTGAAGAGGAATGGTGTTTCACTTCAAGATCACATGAGGTATGATAACTTTAAATTGTGTCTTAAACTGTGATGCTTAATATATGGTTAGACTTCTTGGGAACAGGTTTGTGTCTTCTTCATTGACTTAGATTAGATTAGAAGGGAAATATAACTCTCATCACAGATTGTATTTTCCTGGGACTGTATCCTGCATGCTGATGTGAGGCAAGGTGACTGTATTTAACACTAGATGCCTGTCATAGATTCCTGGGCTTATTGATTTTCTGGTCCTTATTTTTTACCAGGTAAAACTAAGGTGACTAAGAAAGACTAAGGCGCGCCTGATTCAGTTACACTTTGTCAATCATTTGCTATATCCCTGACAGCTGGAAAATGAATAAAGATAGCAGAAGAATTGATGTTTTTGAGTTGCAGTGTTGGAGAAAAGTACTAAATACCCCACGGACTACCAAAAGAATGAACAGTTATGTCTTGTGAAAAGTGCAGTCAGAGTGCTCCTTGGAAACAAAGATGGCAAAGCTTTGCCTCACATACTTTGGACATGTTGGAAAGGGATATCATGCTTGGAAAGGTGGAGGGTTGGCAAAGGAGAGGAAGACCCTCAGTGAGATAGATTGATCTAGTGAATGTAGCCACGGGCTCAAGTGTGTCAGAGGTTGTGAGGATGGCACAGGATAGCGTAATGTTCAGATCTGTTGTTCATAGGGTCATTATGAGTCATACTCGATATGATGGCACCTAATAACAACAGCAGTATGCCCAAGGAAAGTGGAGGGTGAATGACGGAGAAGACCCTTGGTGAGATGGAGTGACACAGCGTTTGCAGCTCAAGTATTATCAGAGATATGAAGAAGCCACAGTTGTTCATCGAGTCGCGAAGAGTCATACTTGACCTGATGGCACCCAACAACAATAAGAACAATATACTGCGAAAAGAGGAGGGTCAAAAGAGAGGCAGCCCCTCAACAAGATGTATTGACACAGTGACTTTAACAATGAACTAGAGCATGTCAGAGATGATGAAGATGGCTCAGGACAGCCCAAAGTTCAGATCTGTTGTTTAAAGCTTTGTTGTAAGTCAGACTTGACTTGCTAGCACCTAACACCACCAATAAAAGTACTTTTTTAAAAAATTCATTTTAATGAAAGTTTACAGAGACTTAGGATTTCCAGTCATTCATTGTTGCACTTTTCTCTCTACTCACTCCCTCCCCCTCCTCAATAACAGTACTTTTAAATATCTAAATCATGAACGAGGGTCCCAGGTCTAAGTGAATGGAATTGGAAAGACAAGCAATGAGCAAGAAAGTAAGAAGCCCTTTCGCGGAGGCTGTGAACCCTCACAGCGGCAGTGCCCGCGCACGCAAGCCTGTTGATGCCGCACGCGTGCACGTACAGTGCCTGTCGGTACGCGCACGCACAGACGGTGCCCGCCCACGCGCCGCGCACGCGCAACTCCTCTCGGCTCCGGCGTGGCTGTCGCGGGCGTGGCGGATGGAGCCAGTTCTAGCAGAGGCGCTGTTATCCCTGAACGGGGACCCGCGCGTGCTCCTCGGCGCACTGTGCCGAGGGGAGCCGTCTGCCGAGCGCGTGGACACACTACGCTTCCTACTCCAGCGACTAGAGGACGCGCGCCGCAGTGGGGGTGCGTGCCCCGAGGCCTGGCTGCGGGAGGCGGCGCGCGAGGCAGCGCTCGGCTTCCTTGTGCCGTTGCTGCGTCTGCGGGACCCCCAGCCGCCTCTCGGCCGCCACCTCCTCCGCGCCGCCGCTGGAGCCCTGCTCGCGTGCGTGCGGCTGGCCAGGGGCGCGCGCTGGGCGACGGCGCTGGCCGAGGAGGCTCTGGAAGAGCTGTTGGGCACGCGGCCGGGCCAGGGGGACGCGCTGGGCGCCGAGGCGGCTGTGGAGGTTCTGGCGGCCGTGAGCCCCTTCCTGCAGCCGCCCGAGGACAGCGTGCTGCTAGAGCGGGCGGCGCAGGCCCTGCTGGTGCTGGCGCTGGGCGAGGCGGAGTCCGGGCCGGCTGACGAGGCGGCACAGGCGGCAGCGCGGCTGCTCCCCGCGCTGGGCCGGGCGGGCGAGGCTGCGCGGCGGACGCTGTGGGCTGGGCTGCGCGCGGCCGGCCCGGGAGCGAGCGTGTCTCGCCGACTGTTGGTGCTGAGTGCGCTGGCCGAGGGGCCGCCACCCGAAGGACCGGACCCTGGCCCGGAGCTCTGGAGTGTGGTGCAGGAGGGGCTCACCCGAGCCGAGGATACGCTCACACGCAAGCGGGCGCGCTACGTGCTGCAGCGGGCAGTGGAGCAGGCAGCGCGCGGGGCCGGGTGCGTGTGCGGACCGCGGGGACAAGGTATGCAGGGCTCCCGCCCCGTCCCACCTTGGGAAGGAAAGGGGGTGCCGCGACCGCAGAGACACAGCATGCCAGCCCCTGAGAGGAAAGAGATGCGGGGACACGATATGCTGTGCCTCGGGGAGGGAAGAGGGTTCCAGGACCCAGGTCAGCCTGTCACTGCGACCTGGGTGTACGGATCCGGATCGCATACCTGGAAAACCATGGCCGTGTCCACCCCGGGCCCTGTGCAGGCTCCCAGAGTCCCCGCACACCTCGGGAGCCCCACCCCCTCGTGCTTTCTCTAGTGATAAATCGCAGCCTGCATTTCCTAGATGTACTAAACTGGGGAAAGTGGACTAGCGCAGGGCAGGTGGCAAAGGCTTGGAGTGACCAGCGCCAAAGGTCACTGTATGGGGTAAATACCGGTCAGTGTCCATCGCTCTGGAAAGGCAGTATTCCAAAGGATTGATAAGCTTCTTCCATTATTTTGAAGAACATCAAGCTTGGTAAAGTTGCTATGTGCTGTGAAGCCCACTTATAGTGAGTGTTCAGATAACGGGTAAATCACCTTAGGTTCATATTTTTAGTTCCGAAGAGAATGATTTTAAATTGGCCCCATAGATAACGGTCAGCAGCTACTTGAATGAAACTTGTGAAAGGGCAGGCAGGATGTTTAGGGTGTTGTTACTGGTCAGGCTGGTGCCAGTGGAGCTGTGTTGGGTTTGAGTTAGTACCTGTGGTGTGCTAGGTCACCTCTTCCCACTGAAGGCCCTCTCCTCACAGGCTGATGTTAACACCGTTTGTGAAGGGGGACAGAATTTTCATTTCCCTGCCCTAGCCTCAGTCTTCAGATGTGATGCATTTAAACTGAGGCTGGAATCTTTGTTGTCGCTGAGCCTTCCCCAGGAGGAACGTAACCTCGGTGTCCCAATTAGCAGCAAGTTATGCTGCAACCAAAGGCCAGGGGTTCAAACCCACCTGCTGCTGCTTGGTAAAAAGACGAGGAATTTCCTCTGGTTCAATTTACAGCCTCTGAAAATCTAATGGAGGGCCAGAAATTATTGGTTCCACCTTGATGGCACTTAACAACTTCTGAATCAGTCTTCTTGAATCTGTCTTTTGCCTCTAAAATTAATAATGCTAAACTTAATTGCTATTGGTCTGCTCCCTTAGTTTCTTCAACATCTGGAGTATTTATAAAAAAATTTCCTTGCTGTTACAGTGAGATTCTGAGGGAAAGAAAACAAAGTGTGGACAAATCTACCATTCTTAGTCACAATCCCGTAAGAGTAACTTGAATTCTTTCTTTAATTCTCCTCTAGCTAGAGTCCTATGTTCTAGGCTGTCATACAGGGACATACCCTCTGTTATTTGAGCATATAACATTTGGTAATAGTGTCGCTATTTTAAGAATGATTTTTACTGAAATGGGAAATTTGCAAAAGAAAGAATTATTTTTTTCTTCTTAAACCATATCAGACCCAAGTGTGTTTTGGTGGTGTGAAAAGAAAAAAGATGAGCTGCTTTCCTTCTGGGAAAACTATATTTTAATTATGGAAACCCTGGAAGGAAATCAGGTAAGTATTTTTGTATTTGTAGCAAAACATAAATATGCATACACTTACAACTTTTGTTTTTTTAAAACTGAATAACCAGTACAAAAGACCATCTTTGATAAAACATAACAGAATTAAAATACTCTTATGGTTTTAGTATATATGCCACTTTAAATGGAGTGTAAATTGTTTTGTTGTTGTTAAGTGCCATCAAGTCTTAGATGACTCATAGTGACCCTAAGAACAAAAGACCTGAACACTTGTATACCTTTCCTCATTTCTCCAAGGTCATAGAGTTTCTAGAGGCAAGCTGTTTCGGAAGTGGATGCCACTCCTGTTTCCAAGCTTGTTTTAATTGGGAAACTCCACCAAACACTGTCCACCATGGGTAACCATTACCACATTTGACACATCAGTGTCACGGTGTTTAGCATCACAGCAACCATGAGTTACCTCTGTACATCAAATGGACACACCAGTGCTATACCACTTAGAAGAATGTTTGACAAAAACCAATTAAAACCAGTTGGGTTTTTAAATAGGCTGAATCACATTATCTCACACCCTTTATTCCACTCTAGTCCACACCAGTACCAGCAAACAGGCCTCCGTAGAATCTGGCTCCTGCAGACAACTTCCAAACTAGTTGGCTCTGAGAGCTCTGGTGGCCTGTGCTGACCCTCTAGACATTGAATCGCCCAAGGATTGATTGTCCATTTTCCCATGGAGCATCTGGTAAATTTTAATCTTGTGCCTTTTGGTTGACAGCATAGTTCCTTACCGCTAGGCCACCAGAGTTAGGAATTATGCTGCCAACCTGAGGGCATGTGGTTTGAGAAAGACAGGCAATATCCACCCGTGAAGTTTACAGCCTCTGCAAACCCACAAGAGTGTCAGCCTTGAGTTGGTTCTAACTCAGTGGCACATTACAACAAACTTTACATTTTCATTTTTACAATTTTAATGGTGTGTTATGTTCTCTTGCTATTTAATTATGATTTATGTTTTAGTTGCTGTACCTTTTTAACAAAAGATTTATTGTTGATTGCTGTGGAGTCAAACATGACTCATAGCAACTCTATGAACAAAAGATCTAAGGTCGTTGCCTGTTTTCCCAAGTTCCTAGAGTTTCTAGAGGCATTTGGTTTAGGAACTGGATGCCACTCCTGCTTCCAAACCTGTTTTACAACTGAGAGCTCCACCAAACAACTATTCACGTAGGCAAAAATTCTGGTATTTGATACCCCAGTGACACAAGGTTCAGCATCACAGCAAACCCAAGTTACTTCATAGAGCACATTGACAAAGAGTGATGTGCAGAGTAGAGGAGAATGTTCCTCTAGGTAGAATAGCACTAGTCTCATTTAGCAGTGGTAAACTGTTGTCAGGTCAAATACGACACAGAGTAAGCTTTGCACAAAAGACCTGTACTCTGTCCTACAACTAACATCATTTCTGTACATTTATAACGAGTTTGTAGAGTTTCCAGAGGCATCTAGTTTAAGAAGTGGATGCCACTCATGCTTCCCAAACAAAAGATCTGGGGGGGGGGGGGGGGGAATACATAGTTTAGGGAAGTTATTAAGGCATTTGGGAAGGATTCTAAAAGTGTAGTAAAATAAATAATTGTTCTTTAGATTTTCACTTTTAGGGTTGTATTTTAAATTAATTTTAATGAAAGTTTACAGAGACTTTGGATTTCCATTCATTCACTGTTGCACTTTTCTCCCTGCCTAACCTTCCCCCCAGTTCGCTCTTCTCTTCGAAAAGTAAAAGAAAAATTCTTTCATTGTTATACAGTCCCTCCCCCCAAGTTCCCTCCACTATGCAGCCTCTGTTCTGGACTCCTGTCAGACAATAATACCTAATAATCTATCCCTTTTAAACAGTTCTCTCCCTCTTCTGCTTCAGTGCCGTATACATAATTTATCCCATCTTTCTGAATCTGCCCTCAGCCCCGATGTCAGTCCCATTTTACAACAGTGGCATTATGTATTTGTCCTTTTGTGACTGAGATATTTCACTCAGCATAATGTCCTCCAGGGTCACCCATTTTGTATATTTCATGAGTTCCTTGTTTTTCAATGCAGTGTAGTATTCCATTGTGTGAATATACCACAGCTTCTGTATCCATTCATTTGTTGATGGGCACTTGGGTTGTTTCCAACTCCTTGCTATTGTGAACAAAGCCGCGATAAACATGAGTGTGCGTCTGACTGCTTGGGTGGAGGTTATGGTTTCTTTGGAGTATATACCCAGTAGTGGAATTTCTGTGTCAATTGGTATTTCTATTTCCAACTTTTTGAGAAAGTACCATTCTGCCTTCCATAGTAGTTGCACCATTTTACACTCCCACCAACAGTGAATAAGGGTTCCAGTTTCTCTATAACCTTGCTAGCATTTGCTGTTTGCTGTTCTGTTAAATTTTGCTGTTCTTACTGGGATAAAATGATAGCTCATAGTTGTTTTGATTTGCATCTCTCTTAGAGCTTGGGATTTTGAACATTTCTTCATGTGCTTGTTGGCCATCTAAATGTCGTCTTTGGTGAAGTGTCTGTTTGTATCCATACACAAAAACCAACTCAAAGTGGATCATGGACCTAGTACTAAAACCAAAGACTATAATATACTTCATTAAAGAAAAGCTTGGAAGAACTCTAGAAGTCATAATCCACCAGATAAACAGTGTTCCAAGTATCTTGGAAAATCTACAAATAGGAGAGGATAAAATAGATGAATGAGACCTTCTAAGAATCAAATCCCTATGCACACCCAAAACCTCCAACAGGATAAAAAGGAATGCTACAGACTGGGGGAAAAAATATTTGGTAATGACATGTCAGATAAGGGACTTACATCTAGAATTTATAAAATACTCAAGCACCACAACCCAATTGAAAAATGGGCACTTTCAGTGAGGTCCTGTTTCGAGGAGTGTTACTTGTTGATTGTCCCTGACTTTCCATCCTGAGTAGTAGGAGAATCCACTGTTGCCAAGTCAGTTCTGTGAGTCAGAACTGACCCAAAGCTGACCTTCAAGCTAAAAGCACAGGAGGAGATAGCCCATCTTCCACAGAACAGGTGGTGGATTCATGCTGCATGCCTGTGGCCACCAGAACTCCCTAATTAGCAGGGCTTTAAACCACCCACTATTTTTATACACAGGTCGTCAGAGTTTCTTGCAGTGTGAGAGGGGCCCTTCTAGTGAAAAAAAAAAAAGAAAAACAGTGTGTTGAACTGAATCTCATTATTTTATGAATGAACCTCACAGGAAAAGTGAAGTGACAGAAGATTTCTACTTGGTACTTTTATTTGATAATGAATTATTAAGCTTGGAGAAAGCACACTACTTCAGAGTCTACTGTCTGGAAGTACAGAGTCTTACCTAATTCTATTTTGAAAGATAATGTAAATTAAACCTCAGCACAGCAAAGGTGACTGCATCATAGTCTGATTAATATGAAGGACATCAGACTGTGAGCTGACTGAACTTGAGTGACTCAAAAAGTTCAGACTTGGTGCTCTCAAGTCAGAACCTCCAGGCTGTGCCACTGAGCTCCCTTGAGTGACTCGAGAAAGTATTTTAGTATTTGGTCTTGCTTTGAAATATATCTGCATTGTCACTTCTGTTGATGTGAACACTGGTTAGGATTATATAATCTATTGTGTAATATTCATTATAAAAAGTAACCAGACCCCCTGCTATTCGTTTATTCTGACTCCTGGTGACCCTCTTGTTGTTTTCCAGTCAGAACTGACCCATAACTGACCCTTTGGTGGGTTTTCAGAGGCAGTTAATCACAGGAGAGGAGATTGCTCATCTTTCTCTTATGGAGCAGCTGGCACCTTCAGACCACGTGCCTACAGGATTGCAGTCCAGCTTTTTGCCACTAGGAAACCAATGCTCCCTAGTGACCCTGTAGAAATATAAATATTATAACTCTGTGGTATGTTATACTCAGTGTCTTTGCCACATACAATCTTAACAATCCTAGGTTTATTTTTTTTAATAATTTTGAAAAATTTTTATTATTTTGTGTGTGTGTGGCGTCAAATTGGATCTGACTGGTACAGGAAGAGATTGCTCCTCCTTCTCCAGCAGATTCAGTCCTAGATTTCTAACTGGTTGGAAGAACCAGTCTTTCTGTGCATGTTCTTTATACCGAGGTAAAAACGCATGATGTCTTGTTATATAAGTACATGAAAATTCCCTTACAATTTTGAAGATGAGTTTTCAGTTCATGTGATTTTTCACTTTTCAGATACATGTTATAAAGCCTGTCTTACCAAAGCTGAATAATCTGTTTGAATGTGCAGTGTCAGAGGAAAAAGGTAATTCATTTTTGTGTTTTACAGCATTCCCAGTTCTTCTGGCCCTGACTTTATAATTAATTCTGCTCTTTGTAGAGAATTTAAACATAACAAAATATGAGTCCTCTTGAAGTAAATAATTGCTGTTAGTGTTCCAGATGTGCAGTGAATTAGCCCATGTTGCCATTACAGAAAAGTAGTGTAGCTGGTGCCTTTAGAGGACAGATGTTTAGTTTCTCATGTTCTGGAGGCCAAAGGTCCCAGTCCGGGTGTCAGCCTTGTCAGTTCCTTTTCTTGCTCTCCGCCCTCGTCTCTGGTGTCCACTTGGGAGCCTCAGTGTTCTTTGTTGTAGACGGTCCTCACTGACATCTGTCTTCACTGGTGTATGTGTGCACCTTGTCTATTTTTAGAAGACCCCACTTGAAGTGATGAGTTTTAGGAAACACCCTAATCTAGTGTAGCTCCATTAATTGAACAAACAGAAACCCCCAACTTCCAAACAGGGTCATATTTACAGGTACAGGGGTTATGGCTTCTGCACCTGTTCTGGCAGCCCCAGTTTACTCTCTCACATATGCCATCTGGATCTTACTGTTCACAACATATTATCTCACTTAGTAGTTTAACCATTGTCTTTACACATAGCCTTAACTCATCTTTGAGAGCATCACTTAAGTGAATATGGAGTTTTCTATAATTTGGAAGTATGGTTAATTTTTAAAACTATCTTATTCTGGAAAATTCCAAACATCTCCTGAAGTAGTATAACATGCATGATTACCCAGCTTCAATCATGCATGATTATCAGGCTAGCACATGGTTGATTCTGTGTCTTGCATCATAAGTAGATTTTCTGACTTACCCTGTTACACTGTTTTGAAACATGTCTTAGGAGTGGCTATTTCTCTGAAAATAAGACTCTTTTAAGTAGTTTTAAAGATGGTACATTTTATAATGTTAATAATAATTATTTGATATGTGTATTTTAACTGCTTTTCATTCTCTTACTGTGTCATCTAATGTTAGAGTTACTATTCTTTTGAGCTTCAACTATTCTGTGTATAGAAAATTCCAAAGTGTACATTTTCCCTGAAGTATATTTTAGGTTGATTTTTTTAAAAATTATTATTATTTTGTGTGTGTGCCATCAAATCTGACCTGACTGATCAGGAAGAGATTGTCCCTCCTTCTCCAGCAGAACATCTGGTGGATTTGAACTGCTTACCTCTAGGATTGCAGTGCAGCTTCTTGCCACTAGGCCACCAGAGCTCCCTTCCCCGAAGTATATTTTAAATATGATTTTAAGCTTATATATTCCTAAAACTACATCATGGCAGGTTTCTGTAGGATATAATGAAGCTGGAACTTTTTAACATTATTTTGTGAATTGAATTCCAGATGCATCAAACAGTTAGATGCAGGCTAAGAGTATTTTGTATTCTTCTGAATGATAAAATGCCATATTATGGTGTTTTCATACGAGAATCAGCCCGGGGCTTTAAACCAGTTCAGTCATGTCCAGGAACAGACCCACATTTTTAAAATTTGGCTGAAGCAGAGCAGCAACTGGAATAATAAAAACTGCAGGTTAAAGGTTTGGAATTAGGGACTCAGGATAGGTATGTTATTGTACACCATCAAGTTGAACCTACCCATAGGTAACCCTCCGGCAGGGTTTTCAAAGGCAGCTAATCACAGGGGAGGAGATGACCCATGAAGCAGCTGGTGGATTTGAGCTGCATGCCTTTGGGATTGCAGCACAGCTTCTTACCCCTAGGCTACCAGAATTCCCTCATGGTAGGTATAGTGAGCCCTCTTAGGAGTCTGATGTGGGAGATTAAGGGATAAGCCTCGACTGTACAAAGCACATCAGAGTGGTGTGGGTCAGCCACCATCTTTGAGCACAGCACCGTTTCCAACTATACTGATGAAGAGATTTGGTTGCTGTGCAATGTGTGTCATTTCTAAGAGCTAGACTAAGTTTCTAGCAGGGCTTGGACTTGCAGCTTTTTCCTCTCTGCTTATTGTCTCACTTTAGCTGCTTTTTGAAAATGGCAATCTGTTCTGGTTCTGCTTACTTGCTGTGCCTGGTTTGGAGAGAACCAGTTCACATCCCTAAATTAACCCAGGTAAATGGTTATTACAGCCAATTTTGGGATAATTACAACCTTAATAGTGTGACCACTTGGGAATTGAACTTTAGTCAGTAGATTATTACACTTGATTTTTGCTATGTTGGGATTGATTTCTCACAGATCATGAGGATCTCTCATCCTACCTGGAGCTAAAATTTAAATGAATTCCTGATTTGATTTCACTTACACATTTACTATAAAAAATTATGCTCGTATTACCATGATTTGATTTGCCCATAGCTCTTGGCAAATGCAATCAAATAATAATAACTGGCTTTGAAAAATTATCATTGCCAAAGAATTACACAGCCATCTTGGTGCAAATTACAAATAATGAATGAACTTAAAATGTCATGAGTAAAAAAAAAATGCTGATTTTTTAAAACTAAAAGGGTATTTCTGCAGAGTCAGAAAGTATCTCTAAGGTAAATATGTATTCCCATTTTTATTTATTCACTTATTTGTACATTCATTTCATCACTATTGATCCAATTCTCAGTGTTAAGCTATAATATATATAGTTGTGTCCCATCAAGTCAGAACCAACCCACATCTGACCCTCTGGCAGGTTATCAGAGGCATTTAATTGCATGGGAGGAGACTGCTTATCTTTCTCCTCCAGAGCATCTGGTAGATTCAAACCACGTGCTTTCAGGATTGTAACACTGCTTCTTAACACTAGGCCACAGAACTCCCTGGAAAAGTGTATTGTTATTGTGTACCATTGAGTCTTAACCAAATTAGAGCAGACCCTCCAGCAGGGATTGCCTATCCTTCTCCCAAGGAGCAACTGATGGATTCAAATTGCATGCCTTCAGGATAGCAGCGTAGCTTCTTACCAAATTTAGATATAAGACTGAAGGCATTTCTTGGGAGATGACATCTGAGCTCAGAATTCCAGGCTGTGGAATCAGTGCTCTGTGCAGGGTTCTGAAGTGAGAGGTAGAACAGGGAGGTCCAGGAGCAGAGAGCCAGTGTGGCTGGAGCCCGGGGTGGGGCGGGGAGAGAGAGAGAGAGAGAGAGAGACACACACACACACACACACACACACACACACACACACGACAGGTGGAGGAACGATGCCCGGGGGCAGGGGGAGAGAGAGAGAGAGAGAGACACACACAGGACACATCAGGACAGGAGGAGTCAGGAGTTTGCACATGCCTTGACCAGAGCTGGGAGGGTGGACTTGTGCTAAGGCCTGCGAAAAGCCATTCAAGTGTTTTAAACAGAGATTCTGCCCTGGTGGCTGTTTGAAGAATTTCAGTGAGTTGGGAGAATAATTGATTGAAGCCACCCAGATCGAAAGTTTAATATTTAATATTTTTAATATTGTTGAATTTAATATTACATGCTTGCTTGGGGAATATTTAATATTTGTACAATGTAGCATTTGTAACATTTGTGTATACTCTATCTCTAAAGCAGTTTTTTAATACTAAAGTTATTTTTTGTTATTTGGCAATTAAACGTCTTTGAGTGTGAGTAAAACTGAACTTAGTTGGTAATATTATAATGAAGTTAGTGTGCTTGTGTGTGTGCATTTATTTATGAATAAATTGTGTGCTGGCATATATTGTAAGAGGCGAGTATTAATATTAGCTGTTTCTTCCTATAGAAGTGTGGATCATCCACCCATCCTGGCATCTCTGTATTTACAAAAGAATGCTTGAAAGTGAAAACAAAGTCCTGACCAAAGAAGGTGTCATCCATTTTTTAGAGCTCTTTGAATCAAAGGTTCTTCCGTTTTCACCAGAATTTTCTGAGGTAATGCTAACCGGTCCTCCTCGCCCTCTGTCACAGGATGAGCAGTGAAGGCATTTGTTGGCTCATGTGTAACCTTAAAGATAGACTACAACAGAACAGATGAGAAAGCATTTCTTCTGTTATGGGGTTGATTGCCCATGACCACTTGAGGCGTCACCCCGGGTGTGAGCATAGCACCCCTCACTGTGTTAATGTTGACTGTCACCTTTACGGGAGCAGATTGTCACATTGCTCCTTCCTGGAAACCAGCGAGTGGGTCGTGATGCCACCTGTCAGTGTAGTAGTTGAGTGCGAACTGTTTGTGTTGCTCAGGAACTATCCGTGTCTGCCCCATGATTGAGTTGCTTCTGACTCTCAGCCTTCTGAGAGTGCACGTCTTAACTAGAGGAGGCTGACTTATCTTTTGCCCATGGAATGACTGGCTGCTAGATTTGAACCACTGACCTTAGGATTTGTAGTTCAACATGTTACTTCATATGTTTTTATATATCTATCTATATATTTATATCTGTATGCATGTATGTGGGTTTGGGGTGGTGTTACATTCTGTTGAGTTAGAACTGACTCATAGTGAATTTTCACAGGCTATAAATTGCAGGAGACTGCCCATCTTTCTGCCACGGAGCAACTGTTAGATTCAAACTGCATGTTTTTGGGTTGGCAGTGCAGCTCCTTAGCGCTTGGCCACCAGAGCTCCCTGAGCTGTCATTGATAGGGGCCCTCACATTGAGTCTGACTGCCAGTGACCCATGAACAGTAGACCTGAACCGTGTCTTGTCCTGTGCCATCATCCTCACCATCTCTGACACGCTTTAGCCCATTGCTGCAGTCACTGTGTCAGTCAGTCCATCTCATTGAGGGTCTTCCTCTCTTTCGCTCTCCCTCCTCCTTTCCAGACAGAATATCCCTTTCCAAGGAACGTTTCTCCTAACAACATGCCTGAACTATGAGGGATGAAACTTCGCCATCCTTGGTTCCTTAAATTCAGTCTAACTCCTGGCAGCTCCTCCAGCAGCAAGATGAAAGCTTGCCTGGTCCTCTCCTGATGCTTTGCCTGCATCACTATCATGGTTAAGAAGTTCTAAGATACTGTCATTCTACACCATGTAAGTCATGGGTATAGTATCTGTGGTGTGGAGACTTTTTAGTGAGGCCTTCATCATAGATTTGAACCACTGACTCACTACTTTTAGCTTAGAGGTGCTGCTCTTCCATATGAAAAGATCTAGAGTTAGTTAGAAAACCCAAAGGGAAGAACAAACACTGCATTTAACAGAGTGGAGAAACTGAGAAAAAAAGGCCAGCCTCAGGTTGCAGTAGTGAGGGATTTCATAGCGAAATATTGAGTCATGTAGGAAGCATCAAAAGGAGGTGGAAGGAAAATAACAACCAGTAAGAACTAGTTGATGTGCAGCTATTTTAGGAGATTGTTTATGATCAAGAACCAATGATGGTGAAGTAAGAACTCTTAGTTACACTGAAGGCATTGGTAAAAACAAGACTCCAGGAATTGACAGTACCACTTGAAGTGTTTTAGTGAACAGATAAAGTGTTACAGGTGCTCACTTATCTATGCCAAGGGAGTTAAAAGGTGGCTAGCTACCTGACCACGTGATTGGAAGGGATCCATATTTTTACTCATTCCAAAGAAAGATGATACTACAAATGCTTCCATTTAAAAACATGTTAACAACCAGTAAGAACTAGTTGATGTGCAGCTATTTTAGGAGATTGTTTATGATCAAGAACCAATGATGGTGAAGTAAGAACTCTTAGTTACACTGAAGGCATTGGTAAAAACAAGACTCCAGGAATTGACAGTACCACTTGAAGTGTTTTAGTGAACAGATAAAGTGTTACAGGTGCTCACTTATCTATGCCAAGGGAGTTAAAAGGTGGCTAGCTACCTGACCACGTGATTGGAAGGGATCCATATTTTTACTCATTCCAAAGAAAGATGATACTACAAATGCTTCCATTTAAAAACATGTTGCACTGTGCCTATCTTCTGTCAGAAACCTCTTTAATATGCTAATGAACAGGGATGTCACATTAAAGCCCTGACACAAGACGGTAGTATTTTCCGTTGCTTTATATGCTTATCAGAGTTGCACAATGAATAGGAAAAGTGAACAAGAATTGATGCCTTCTAATTGTGGTGTTGATGGAAGAATATTATAGTACACTTTTGGCCTGCCAAAAGAACAAACAAATCTGTCTCGGAGGAAGTGCCACCAGCATTCCCCTTCGAGGTGAGGATGGTGAAACTTTGTCTTAGGTACTTGGAGCATTTTGTCAGCAAGGACCAGTCCTTGGAAAAAGAAATGACGCTGGAACAACTGAAAGGGGGGAAGACCCTCAGTGAATTGGACTGTGACACTGGGCTTCATGTCAGGAGTTTTAAGGTGGTGCAGAACAGGGCAAGGTTTCAATATGTTTCATAGGGTCACCGTGATCACAGTTGATGTCACCTGAGAGCAGCAAATACCATCTTTAATATCACACCTTGTTGAAGATACTTTTAAAATGGTGTTAGCAGTGCCTTGATAAGGAATGACTAGAATTTCCAGCCAGATTCCTAAGAGACCAAGGCACGAGGGATATTACCGCTGATGTCAGATGGATCTTGGCTGAAAGCAGGAAGTACTAGAAAGCTGTTCACTTGTGTGTCACTGACTATGCAAAGGATTTTGACTGGATCATAACACATAGATTCCATTGCATGGGATGAGAATTCCAAGATACTTAATTGAGCTCATGCAGAACCTGTATGTATGTGGGCCAAGTAGCAGTTCAGACAACAAGAGGGTGCTGTGTGGTTTAAAATCAGCAAAGGTGTATGTCAGAATTGTATCCTTTCTCCTACTCAAACTGTATATTGGGCATATAATCTGAGAAGCTGGACTTGTAAGAGAGAACATGACATCACAATTGGAGGAAGATTCATCCACAACCTGTGACTAGGACTGGAGGAAGATTCATCAACAACCTATAGTACTCAGATGATACAACCTTGCTTGCTGAAAACACTTAGAGCACTGAAGAAAATCAGAGACTGTAGGTTTTAATTTGAATTGCACCTTTACAACTTGACTGATAGCAACATCATGATAGGTGGAGAAAAGATTGATGTCGAGGATTTAATTTTGTTTGATCCACAATAAATGCTCATGGAAGCACCTGTCAAGAAATCAGGAGACATACTGCATTGGCTATATCTACAAAGGACCTTGTTAAAGTGCTGAAAAGTAAGGATGTCAGTTTAAAGACTAAGGTGTGCTTGACCCAAGCTGTCATATTTTCAGTTGCCTCATATACATAGGAAAGTTGGACACTGTATAAAACTCAGGTATTTATATCTTTGACTTTTTTTTTCATACCTTTGAATTTTGATGATGGTGGTGGTGGTTGTTAAGTGCCATCAAGTTTCAGGTGACTCATAGCGACCCTATGAAGGAGAGTCCTCAATGCTTGGGTGTCTTTTCATCCTCTCTCCAGGTTCGTAGGGTTTCTGGAGGCAGGCTATTACGGAAGTGGATGCCACTCCTCCTTCCAAGCTTGTTTTAATTGGGAGCTCCGCCCCACTCTCTGTCCGCATTGGGTGACCAGCATTAACGCATTTGACACATCAGTGTCACAGTGTTCAGCCTCACAGCAACAACAAGTTACCACTGTACGGCAACTTGTAACCAGGGCTCTACGACCTAGAGGAATGTTTGAACAAAAACAATGAAAGACAGACCCAAGGACCGCGGATTAAAAGTCACCCACCTTGGGCTTGGTAGCATCACTTTCTGTCCACTGGGCCAGCTGATCTCTCTGTGCTGATGTTATTGTTAAGTGCTATCAAGTCACAAGCGACTCAAAGTGACCCTATGAAGGAGAGTCTGCAAGGCTTGGGTGTCTTTCATCTTCTCTCCAGGTTCGAATAATTAATATATCCTAGATTACCAAAGCAGAGAATACCAGAAGAATCTCTATCTGTGTTTCAATGATTATGCAAAGGCATTTGACTGTGTGGATCATAACAAACTGTGGCTGACTCTGAGAAGAATGGGAATCCCAGAACATTTAATTGTGCTAATGCGAAACCTGTACTTGGATCAAGAGGCAGTAGTCAGAACAGAGCAGGGTAACACGGCATGGTAAAAATTGGGAAGGGGGTATGCCAGGGATGCATCCTCTCTCCATACATTTTCAACATGTATGCAGAGCAGATTATCCGAGAAGCTGGGCTCTACGAGGAGAATTGTGGCATTAGGATTGGTGGAAGATCTATTAATAATCTGCGTTATGCAGATGACACAACCTTGCTTGCTGAAACTGAGGAGGACCTCATGCACTTGCTGTGAAGGGTCAAGGACTGCAGCCTTCAATATGGACTGAGGCTCAATGTCAAGAAGACAAAGATTCTCACCACTGGACCAATTGGCAGCGTCAGGATGGATGGCGACGAGATTGAGATTGTTCACAGCTTCAGTTTGCTCGGCTCCATAGTCAACACTCTTGGCACCAGCAGTCAGGAAATCAGAAAGCGTATCGTGATGGGAAAGTCTGCTGTTAGGGACCTTTCTAAAGTACTCAGGAGCAACGGTGTCTCTCTGGAGACTAAGGTGCGCCTGATACAGGCCATGGTCTTTGCAATCGCTTGTTATGCATCAGAGTTGGACAATGACTAGGGAGGACAGAAGGCGAGTTGATGCCTTTGAGCTGTGGTGCTGGAGAAGAGTACTGAATGTACCATGGACTGCCAGGAAAACAGATTCATCTTGGAGAGGATTAAACCAAGCTACTCCTTGGAGGCAAGGATTCTGGGGCTTCGTCTGACATACTTTGGACATGTTGCCAGGAGGGACGGGTCCTTGGAGAGGGACATCATGCTTGGGAGGGTGAAGGGACAGCGCAGGAGGGGAAGACCCTCTATGAGATGGATTGATTCGGTGACTGGGGTAATGGGGATGGGTGTGTCAGAGGCAGTGCGGTTGGCACAGGATAGAGCAGGGTTTAGGGCTGTTGTGCATAGGGTTGGGTCGTTCTGAAGAACTCGAAGGCACATAACAACAACAACAACAGATTACTAAAAGAACAAACACATTTGTCTTGGAAATGAGGATGATGGATCTTTTATTATGAAGAGCAGCCAGTCCCTGAAGAAGGTTAGCAAAAAAGAGTGATCTGGGCTGACAGTGACAGTGGGCTCAGTGAAGCAGTGACTGTGCGGATGGTGGGTGCCAGGCTCTGTTCCCTTCTTCTGTTAGGAAGGCAGCGGTGAGTCAGAGGGGACACAGTGACACCCAGCCCCACCAAGAATGTTCAACAAGGACTCCTGGTGGTGCAGTGGGCTAAGTGTTGGGCTGCTGACTGTAAGGTTGAAACACAGGCCAGTTCTCTCTGCCATGGGGTTGCTGTGTGTTGAGTTCTGGCTTTTGAATGATGATATTGAACAGGAGGTCTGGTAGCATGGTGGCTAAGCACTTCTCTGCTAACTGAAAGGTCAGCAGTTTGAACCCAGCAGCTGCTCCTTATGAGGAGGTTGTGACCTCTGCATTCTGAAGACCCCAGCTCTAGAGCAGCTCTGTGACCTGCGGCGTCACCTTGAGGTGGAATAGGCTTGAAAACAATGTTTGGTTTTGGTACTATATTAAACAAATTGCCTTTTGCACCAGCAAAAAGATTGTGAGAATTATAGTTGTGGTTTTATAGGGACACTTGAGTTGTATAGTCGCTTAGTTGGTTGTTACGGACCTTGCAGTTGGAACCGACTCCTAGCTGACCCTCTGCAGATTACACAGGAGGAGGCTGCCCATTATTCTCCCACAGAGCATGGTGGATTCCAACCATGTACCTTTCAGTGCAGCTCCTTACCATTGAGCCACAAGAGCTTTCTCATCATCATTTAGATAAACTAATTTACTTCTCACTTAGTGGTAACTTAATTTTTTTCAATTTTCAGAATACATGCTAATATACTTAGATAAGAGTCTTTTTTTCTATATTCTCCCATCCTTCTTGTACTTTCTTTAAGCGTTCTGTTGTAGCCAATTTCTAGTAATAAATAATCTTGGAAATGCAGCTATTTTCTATCTTCCAAACAAAAGACTTTCATTTCCTCTTCACTGTCTTGATTTTCCCCCTCTTCTTACCTCTAATTCCCATCATGCTCCCACTTCGACTTCTTTCTTCTGCTTGCTCTAGCACATGACTATTTTAAGTATGCCATGCATTTTTACCAGGTGGGGGCATTCTGCTCTCATTTTGTGGCTCTGGGAGAGAGAAGGCACCCTCAAAGCGCACAGGTCAATTAGCTACAGCCTGAGAGGGCTGCACTCCTAATAGTGGCCTCTCTCCAGCAACCCTGTGGAGGGGTGCAGTCTGGGGAAGCGGGCTTTTCCAAACCCTGTTACAACTTAGTATCAGTTACGCACTTGTCTATTCACTCATTTATTTTTCAGTTCATTCTTGGACCATTAATGGATGCGCTTTCAGAGACCTCTCTGTATAGAAGGTAAGCCTGCAGTTTACCAGTCCTTTTGTGACATGTGTTTTGATGGGCATGTACATTGTGTTTCTGTAACATGACCATATTGTTTAATACCTTGGGCATTCATTTGCTGCCTAAGAGACATTCAACTTTTTCTTACCTATAGTTCTTTCAAAATTTGTTACTCTTGTTTTCTGTTTTATCAAAATAAATAAAAATATAAATTAAATATAAAAATACCCCAATATACAACTATGGTCTTTGCTCTGCAAGTGATCACAATATAAAGTCCTAGACAGACTTGAAGAAATTGGAAAACAAAACTTGAAACCGTAAAAAAAGACCAGGCTTACCACAAAAAGATAAAGGTAAATAATCCAATAGAAAAATGGGCAAAGGATATGAACAGACACACTTCACCAAAGACGACATTCAGATGGCTAACAAGCACATGAAGAAATGTTCAAAATCCCTAGCTCTAAGAGAGATGCAAATTAAAACAACTATGAGATATC